TCCCCCAGCTGTCTGGTATCCAACCAGTTTATGTTTTATTTAAACAGTTTCTGCTGTTGGCAATGATCAGATGTGGTGATCCTCCAAAGAGAAGGAGGTGTTTCTCCCCTCCTCTGGAGCAGAAAACTGAAATGAATCCTGCGCCCTCAGGAACACTGAGTGAATTTTGAAGACAGCAAATTAAGCTTCCAATGTACCAAGGAGAGTATACCAACCTTTGAGTGCAATACATGTGGGTCATATGAAAATGAGGCTAAGCTGTGGTCTGCTTTGCACTTTCAATGTGGCGACTGTCTATGGGCTTAGCTTTTGTTTTCAACAAGTCTACTCCTTTTCAACTAATGCTTCCTATGAGATTCTGGTAACAATAGATGCAAGCCACAAGAAAACTTTGTATAGTTTTATCAGCTTTATTATTGTTCCAAACATTGCGTGTAATATATGAGGATTTAAGCCTTTCATCTTTCTCACCAAAGCTACCTTTTGTTAGCATACACTGATGTATGCGCTGTATGTCATCAAAAGACCAGCCAGCACAACAACTCAGTGAGAGTTCAAATCAGCACTTCAGCTCCGCTTTGCACATGCCCTGCTGAGTACTCATACTCCCACTGTTCAACACACTGCCCACAAAGGGTGATGTTAGGGGGGCAGACAGCAGCCTTTTCAGCGCTGTCAAACAAAGAAAAGGCCAGTGCTACGGCAGGGCCGCCTCTGAAGCAACCAGGGCAGCAAAGGCAGACAGACGAGAACATATTTGATTGACAGTACCAGGTTTTTTTTGTTCAAACAGCAATCTAAGTTTTTAGGTACTTTGGTAAGACAATTTCCCAGTGACGTTTTTGCAATGTGTGGATACGACATCTATTTTGCCAAATCATTTGTTGTGTATTCTGCTCCCTACTTATTTTGCATAGCAGTAATGGGTTTCCCTGCCTGTGCAAACTATCAAGTTTTTTTTTAATCCATTACAAACAAATCACGTCCTGTCTGTAGCAACCACAACCAAGATGATAAAATGTCTCACTATCCGTGTGCCAGGGGAATTTTTACGAGATGTGTTAGGAACAGCAAATGTGAACGCTTCTATTTGCTGGTAATTACTGGAAGTGAAAAAGTGTATAATTTTAATCAGTGATTCAAAGAACATTTAGATTATGGCTCTCTGGGAGCTGTTTAATCAAAAATAGTATTCATAAGCCATGACAGTTTAACAAATAGTTGCTTTTTGGTGGGTTTACCTTGTTTAGAGACTAGGCTGAAGCCTTCTCAAAGCATCACAAAAACAAGAACAAATGCTGTACAGTGCCACCCCCACTCCACTGCCTGAGGATGCAGGAAGACTTGGTAAACCGAGGTGTTAATGTATTCCAGCTCAGAGACTGCAGAGGCACACTGTGTGCACTGATGTGACATTAATGACAGAAACAGGAATGTCATGTCGCACATGAAACCACACACACATGAACACTCGTATTCTTGATGCCCTGGGGTGATGTTTTCCAACTACCAAGCAGCTTGCTGGGCGAGATCGAACATTGCAGGCTGGATTTCCGGGGGACTTCTCTTAGGGTGCATTTTGTTTGATAGTGATGCTGAGAGGACACAGCAAGCACGACTGACACGCTGTCGGTTCCCTTCAGTCAGCTGGAACCTCATGTTTAAATCAAGCTCATCAACGACCTGTCAGGGTGAATATTTGTCTGTTGGCTAGAAAATGAATCGATATAGTTGAGGCTAATATGGAAGATGATTTCTGCCAGGAAACTGACAAGAGAAAAAGGAGGACACTGTCAATTTAAAACACTCGTGTTGTGTCAATATTTTAAATTACTAAGTGAGATGTCATCTATTATAATACATTTCGAATCTGTCAATCATATGCAACACAAAATATATCACTAACAAAAACACAGCAACATGGTTTGCAAACCTGTTATCTGTTATCTAAACTTAAGTATACAGGATGTATGGTCAATTATATACAAAAGTTGCTTCCACTCTGGGTCTTATGAGCCCTATAGGGGCCTGAGATGAGTCAGAGGGGCGCTTTATGATATATAATATGAATAGGAAGACATTCAAAAAATAAGTATAACACACAAAGTTAAGCTTACTTTTTTAAGACACTTTTGGTGTTACCTTTGTTTTGTCTTTTCATGGCCAACGGCAACAAAAGATTACTGTGTTGTCACAATTTTAATTGAGGTTTGTTATGCCATTCTACCAATCTGAAGTTGAAACTGCTCAACAAATAGATCATGTGCTTGTCAGCCTCACTCTCTTCACAAAAAATACGATTTTGTACCAGTTACATTTTTTCTTTTATCATAAAAAACTGTTTTGCTGGTGGATTCTAGAGGCAAAAACACATTAGTATGTGGATCACATTTTGTACTGTGTCCACAGATGCACAAACACACACCCAAACAAAGTCGGTTGTTGGTTTCATTTCCCATTTCAGTGACATGCTGTCATCAGGAGCACATCCATTCATTGCGTCTGTCAAAACAGCCTTCCTTTGGGGCGTCCTGCTGTTGTGACGCATATATCACAACTCATGCATAATTCCGGCTTGGTGTGATAACTAGTGGCTCATCCTAAAATATCTATGTTGCTTGAAATATTGAACGCTTGTTAACGCATGTATCATGACATGAGTGAGTGACATGAGAGCTGCATCATTCAGTGGTTGCATTAGCTTTTACTCTTTGGTGAAGTTGGTTTTCTTCCTCCTCTGAGCTGATGTGGGTTCATCTGTGTAATATTTCCTTTTTGAAACAATTATCTTCTACAAAAATAAAAAAACTCAAAATTCAACATTCAAAAGCTTCAATGATTTGAGAAAAAACGATCCAATACGTGATGGCAAAAACACGTATAATCATGTGAGACTTAACACATGCTTTTGGGGGCAATCCCTGAATAACACAATGGAGTGACACATGGATGCCTCTCTTCGATGTCCCTTAATTGATACACAATGGAGAGTGCGGGCGTCACCGGCGGGGCGTAGAGTAAGCTGACAGACAGGCCATGTCACATGTCAGCTTTCAGAGCGCTGTTCAACACGTCTCCTCCTGACTGACAACCCACCCCAATTAACCTCAAACTCCAAAACAGACAGGAAACACATACAAGTACACCTGCTCTCTCCCTCTCCCAAACTCAGACACACTCACCCTCGCTGGGTGTGTGACAGCTGTGGAGCTTTGTCTTTATTCATTCAGCGCTAATTGACCTTGTTCTACAGGGCCCATCTTGAGCAAGAGAAGGCATTGTTTGCCTGCTGCATGTGTACGGTTATATGAGTAGCTACAGGCAATCAGTTAATAAATAAATAAATAAATAAAATACCTATAGAATATAAATAGAACATGTGAAGGTTTTTCTATCAATTACCAATCTATGCCGATGTTCAAGGTAAAACCTGAATTGAGCAGAATACTGATGGTTTTCTCAGCTTATTAAATGCAGGACCATGTGCAGATGGAGCTTTTTACTTCTAAGTATGTCACTCTGGGTCCCTCTAGTGTGGTAACAGACAGATGGGAGGAGGATTTTAAGCCTCCATTGCATTCAGTACAACAAGGAACATAGGCCTGATAGAGGGTTTGTGTTAAATCTTGAATAAATAACATATGATTGGCGTGCAAAATTATGTATTAGTGTGTTTAAGGTTATGTTTTTGGAGCTGGCAATACATTTTTTTGAATATTATTTGATTGTCTCCCCAATTCCCTACCCAAGATTACTGTTTTAAATTAAACAGCATTTCATATTTAGAGACCGTTTTATGGAAGCGATAATAAGCCACACTTTCAAACAGTGAAATAGAAAAAATAATGGACTGAGTGAAATGTTGGCCAGCAGATAGCAAGCAAGATTCAAAGAGACTCATTTAGATGCTAATAAAAGAGAAGGCAACATATTCCGTATTTCTGGTTACGTTATGTCCACATAACTGCATTAAAGAGGTAGAATGTGGTGTTGCATGAGATGAAGATTAAAGAAAGCACAGGCCAAGTTTTTATTTCTATTTATAAAATCTACAGAACCAATCTCATATACTGTACCTGAACATACAGTATATTACCTGGGATCACTATCAGCAGGTTGGAAGCGCTTTGTGTAAGGTGAGCCCAGCTATAAGAATTTTCTTAATCTGGGAAGGGAGAAAAATACGATTTTGTTAAATGTATTCTACTCATTACCTCCAGGAAGACGGATGAGAAAGTTGTGTACTCAAAAACAAACCTCCCTTGCATAATCATATATTTTATTTAGAGAATTGATAGCCTTACATTTCCTTTAAAAAGATAAGATACAAAACCACATATCAAGTGTTGTTATAACATTTCACAAGATTAAAAAATAATGAAAATAGCTATAGCCGAACTCAACAAAGAGTAATGTTACACACAAAAAAGTATTTATAATGTGGGTTAATCGTGGGACCCAGTAGGCTACTGGGTCAATCCAGCACCGACCCAGTAATAGTTCAAATTCAACTATTAGCATAACAACCAACCTTAACAGATGGGTAATTTTGAACCATTTCTAAAATATGATTTCCATTGTTGGTACCATCTGTAGTGTTACTTTAATTCGTTATATTAGATTATCAATTAAACCTATATTTGCTCAAGGTTAACCAGCTGCAACATAGTGACACTTAGGTTATGATGCAATAATTAATGTTAAGAAGCAATGGCATTTAAAATGTTTATTGCTCCATATTAAACTGGAATTAAACTATAAAACTGAATTTCCCTCTCAGGGGATTAATAAAGGTCCGTCTTCTCTTCTTCTATTAAGGAACTGAATACTTGTTTCATTGCTGACTGTATTTTAGACTGCATTCGTGTGGGCAAGGTTTAGTTAATGATGTTGAACTTTGAACATCATTCTTAGAATTTCTAACTTTACAAAAGCCGTATAACTCCAGACTCACAGGCAGGGTGAATCTAGAATGAATTATTTACCCGGAGCAATATCACTTACAGGCCTACGGGTCAGGTTATTAATGTATTGCTGACTGTGCTGGGACTGCGCCTCGCGACTGTCCGTACAAATGGCGCAGCAGCAGCAGCAGATGAAGCGCGCGCTGCAGCAGTGCATTGATGCACAGAAAGACGATCTGCACAGTTTAAGCCGGGACATTTGGAGCAACCCCGAGCTCGCCGGAAACGAGACACAGGCGCACGACAGGTTGGTCCGCTTCTTCTCTCGGGACAAAACATGGACGGTCGACAGTCACTACAAACTACCCACCGCATTCCGGGCCGTCTGGGATCCGGTTGGTGGCCTCGAGCGAGCACTGAATGTGGGCTTCCTCTGCGAGTACGACGCGCTTCCGGGTATCGGACACGCTTGCGGGCACAACTTGATAGCGGAGGTGGGAGCTGCAGCCGCTCTGGGGCTGAAATCTGCTTTAGAGAACCAGAGTGAACTCCTTCAACCAGTTAAGGTAACAGTTCAGGTTAGGTTCAAATAAGAATGCAAACTATGACAGTTCACTGTTTTGATAACTTTGACTCTCCACAGTTCTATTAGTCAACTGCTCTTGGGATAGGCTTTTTTCCAACCGCTGAGACTTAACAAGGGCCACATTTCTTGACCTAGTGCTTCAACACCCCCAATGACATATCTATAAATTCCACAAAAATTCCATAACCAAAAAAAAAAATCAACATTTTCACTGTAACATAACACAAACAATTCAGATAATAGAGAGATATATGACAATTAAGCATAATAATAATTTGTATTTGTGGAAAGTGTTTATATGATGATGTCAATAGGCTGAACAAAAAACCTTTTACCCAGATAACAGTATTGGGAACTCCTGCGGAGGAGGCTATAGGAGGAAAGATTGACCTGATCAAGGCAGGAGCGTTCACTGACATGGACCTGGTCTTCATGGCTCACCCCGCTCAGCAAGATGCTCCATTCCTGCCCGGTGTTGCTCTCGATGAGTGAGTTCACAGCTTTTATAAGTTCACAACCTGCTCTGTGTATGTTAACCTCCGTTGTATATTTCAGATATCCATTAAAGCACTTTATCGATGTGACACAGGGTGATAGTGAAGTACTATGGGAAAGCGTCTCATGCTTCTGCGTACCCTTGGGAGGGAGTGAACGCCCTGGATGCTGCTGTGCTGGCCTACAACAACCTCTCTGCTCTCAGACAGCAACTCAAACCAGAGTGGAGGCTTCACGGTGAGAAACAGGCAGAATCTGTGATCAGCTGAGCTTTAAAGTTTATTAAAAGCAGTCTCCCCTCAAAGTCATTTGACTACCATTTACATGAGAAGTTCTTCATGTGGTAAGAAAGATAACATGTATCAACAAACTTGCGTGATGAGGTCAGTGACGTGATTTAATTACTTGTTATAAATTAACCTTTGCAAACTTGTGCCGCTGTGTGTTGTCTTCATATGACAGTGAAGTTGCACAGACATTTAATTTAAGTATAGCAACCAGAGGGTATCTATGTGAGGCAATTTTCCAAGTATTTAAAAATGTTTCAGCAATATTCTCAGATGGTGTCATGACACAAATTTGTCAAATCACGCCTTCCATAATGCCTCCATTTTGTCAAGAGCTAGCCCACATATCTTCAAATAAAATAAACTCAATATATCAGCAACAAAATAGAAAGTGCTTAAAATAATTGCTGTGATCAAACAAATACTGCAGGTGTGACGGATGCATCCCTTTTTATGCTTCATCATGTCATTTTGCCTCCAGGCATCATCAAACATGGAGGGGAGAAGCCCAACATTATCCCTGCCTACACAGAGTTGGAGTATTATCTGCGCACGCCGCTGGTGAAGGATCTTTTTGACCTGAAGGCCAAGGCTGAGGCTTGCTTCAGGGCAGCTGCTGTTGCCACCGGCTGCCAAGTAAGCTTACCTAAAAAATTCGACTTCCTCTAGCTTCCCTCGGACGCAGATGTAAGCACAAACAGTGTGTTTTAACATATCTTAAAAATGCAACGTTGGAGTTCACTGCTGTTATATAATATTGCCCTTTTTAACATATTCCTGTTTTAATGCTCCCAAGTTTTGTTTGACTCTTACATAATTCACCGTTATCTTCAGGCGGCTTTTCTCCTACGTCTGCACTTGCTTCAGGGAAGTTAAACTGAGATTAGAGAGCATGCATGGAGTGCCATATTTGTTGATGTATGAGAGTAATCTCTATTGTTAAATGTCATATTTTTTTAAATGAAGGAATACTTGTGTTTTCTTCAGGTGGAGATAACCTACCCATACAATTCCTACTATAACATTCTGCCTATTGCCACGCTAGCAAACCTGTATAAAAATAACGGAGAAGCTTTGGGGATTCAGTTTCCAGAGCAGCCAAACAATTTTTCTGGTATGTGAATAAAAGAAAACATGAATCACACATAATTATTGCTTTTAATCCTGGTTTGTGCAGGAAAACTTTACATACCGTAGGTGTACAGCTTTCTATTGAATTGAATGAACAAAGAATAATTATTGAAGGGTATTTATAATTATCTGGCAGGTTCTACAGACTTTGGCAACGTATCATACGTAGTCCCCGGTATCCATCCTTTCTTCTATATCTGCACCGATGCGCTAAACCACACTGAGGAGTACGCTGTAGCAGCAGGTAAGGCAGCATGTGTATATTGTGAGCAGATGTTCTCTCTTTGATTCAATCAGACGGTTTTCCAGGTCACTTGGTTTGTCTCTTTAGTTTCTATTTACTTTTTTTTTTACTCTCTTTTTCTATGTGCCAGGAGCTGAAAAGGCCCAGTTGTACACCCTGAGGACTGCCAAAGCCCTGGCTATGACAGCTGTGGATGTAGTGTGCTCCCCCGATCTGCTGCGGAAAGTGAGAGAGGACTTCAGCCAAGCCAAACGGAAACAGGGGAAACACCTGGAAGGCACGGACACATCTTTGACGGCTCCATAAATACAATAATATGAATAACAGTTATAGAAAATAGTTGTTCAAGGTTGTGTTGGGCTTTAAGTCTAGGTCTACCTATGTTGTAAACATATTATCTATATTTCACGTCTGTCCGTCCTGGGAGAGGGATCCCTCCTCTGTTGCTCTCCCTGAGGTTTTTCCCATTTCCCCCTTTAAACTGTGGGGGTTTTCCTTCTTTGGAAGTTTTTCCTTGTACGATGTGAGGGTCTAAGGACAGAGGGTGTTGTATTGTCATACTGATATTTTGTACAAACTGTGAAGTCCACTGAGAGAAATGTAACATTTGTGATATTGGGCTATATAAATAAACATTGATTGATTGATTAAGTAGATTCCTATACGTAGTATGGTTACTTTTGAAGGAAAGAGCTTAAAGAAATATATGAATAATAATAATTGTATTAAGGACACCACAAAGAGAAGGTGTGGCATAGATAAAAATCAAATAATATAGAAGAAATACATTCAAATAGAGTACTGAAAACTAGTAATACTTGGCAATACATAAGCAGATTCCAAAATAAAAATTAGGAAACTGCACCCACATGAAAGATGCTTGCAAACTACAACTGAAATACCACCTTTATAAGTTTTATTCCTACTAGACTAGATCTGATGCTTGTTGAGGTTCGAAACCAGCATGGGTACCTTTTCCTTTAGACTGCCAACGGCACACA